GGGGGAGGGGGGACTAACTGTACCCGAATTATTAGTTGTTCTTAGTACTCTTTCTGTTCTTAAATATTTGTTATTTTATATAAATTTTTTGTTTCATAATATGTATCGTTTAATGAAATTAAAACATAGTTAATATTTTTTTTCTAAATTTATCTTTAATTTTTCAATACATTAGATTATGTGAAAGTTAAGTGTCTTTCATATTTCTTTCCTTCTCAATACGTATTAAAAAAAAATATTTTAGTCTTGTGCAATTATTTTTACCCATATTAGAACTATTTAATATCTTCCTTAATTTCATTGTAAAAACCTTAAACAACAGATATTTAGGAACGGACGAATAACATTTACGCAATTTCCAAGTAAATTCATGCACTGCCATGTTTGTATATACTATCCGCATTCTCATAATTTAAGTTCTAAGCTCTATGCATTAAATCTAGCAACCAGCAGGCTATAACCAAAATGACTTTCCCACTCACTTCTGTGTGTACACTCATTTATTTTCTTCTCATTTTCTCCAACTATGGAACCTTTACATCTGCACAGACAAAAACCACGAGCATCGGAGCAATCATTGACGATGATACTCGTATCGGAAAGGAAGTGAAGGCAGCCATGAAAGTAGCTGCTCAAAACTTCAACAGCTCCTCATTGTACCACAAATTATCTCTTCATTTTCGCAACACTGGTGGAAATCCTCTCCAAGCAGCTTATGCAGGTGATTACCCTTGTTGGCTTAGTTTCCTGATTCTCTTGTTTTCTAACTGGTACACACAAGCATGTATACTAATAGATATATGGTTGGCAGATTTTTGTGGATTTAAAAAAAAAACAAAGGCATTGTTGTAAACTATCTGAAATCTTTTAAAGAAGTCCTTTTAACTTTTTCAAAAGAAGTTGCTGAAGTAACAAGAGTGTCAAAGTGTACAATCTAAATCCAACAAGAAAAGAAGGCCGAGTTGGGAAATTTCAGCTCCAGCACCAAACAATTTTTTTTGTTTTTGTCTCGGTGGGGGCAACCTATTCATAGTGGATTAAAAAATAAATTTGTCTAATTAGATTTAAGTTTAAGAGTTCATCATCATGTTCGTAACAAATGAGATAATAGACTACACATAATCAAAATATAATCTATAAATTCAAAATATAATCCCAACTAGAATTTCAAAAAATCAATTAAAGAAATTTAATCATACGGAAGAAAAATAGCACTAACCAAGAATTTCAGATAACCAATCTGAACATGAGCTTTAACAAAAATCCAAAATAGTTGAGAGGTGACCCAAGACGAAAAAAAAAAAAAAACAACTTACATTAGTCCATAAATAATATACCAAACAACCATCAATTATACAAGAGTTAAATTAATTTTCTAATATAAAAAATTTTATTTAAGATTAGTGCTAATACTACTATAAAAAAATTTGATTAATTGATTACCTCTCCTTAACTTCAACATAATCTTATAAGATTTCTTCAAATTTGATTCCAGGGCTAAGAAATAATCTTCCAGGGCTAACACATGACCTTTAACAGTTTAACTTCCTATCAAATAGATACACAAGTGGGGACGTATAGAGTAAATTTTAGTTTGACCCCTTAATGATTCCCTTTATCTAATATTGTCTCATCAAGAATCACTTTTCTCACATTGAACCTTCAACTATTATTACTCGTTTCACATTACCCTCAACCTTGACATTTATACCGCCAACTTCTACTTTTTATTTCACATTACTACAATTATAGACATTAAATTTACATCAACAACGTGTTAGATCATTAAATTTTGGTTAATATGAAATTAATTCAGATAGTTGAGGGGATAATATGAAAAACTTATCAGTTGAGGGGATAAAGTGAGATTGGGATCATAGCTAGTTAGAGTGGTAAAAGTATTATTTCCCTGAAACTAATAAACATAATTTCTTCTGATCATGTAAGTTTTCAGTAACAATAAATCCAAGTCAACCTAAAGTTAGTTCNGTTAGAGTGGTAAAAGTATTATTTCCCTGAAACTAATAAACATAATTTCTTCTGATCATGTAAGTTTTCAGTAACAATAAATCCAAGTCAACCTAAAATTAGTTCTCTAGAAAATTAAGAAAACTATTAATTGGTGTCCTTTAATGGTGCTAGTTTTGATAAGAAAAAAAAACTATGGTAGAGATATTTGGATTGACTTTAATTTTTTTTATTTTTTTTGACAGCTGAAGAACTTCTTAAAGAGAATAATGTTGAAGCCATTATAGGCATGGAGACATGGGAGAAAGCAGTCCTAGTTGCCGATGTTGGAAATCGAGCTCAAGTGCCAATTATTTCATTTGCATCAGCTTCAATCAAGCAACCGATAATGCCGCCCCATTTGCCTTTCTTGGTTCAAATGGCAACCAATGTCACTGAACAAATTATATGCATCACGGAGATTATTCGCTCATTCAACTGGCGAAAAGTCATAGTAATCTATGAGGCTAACTATTATGGAACCGATTTCGGAATGTTTGTTGCATTATCTAATTCACTCAAAGATCATGGCGTAGAAATTGAATATCGTCTCATTCTTCCATCATTTTCCTCTCTATCTGATCCAAAAGGCTTTGTTAGTGAAAATGTAGCTGAGCTGTTGAGTAAACAATCCATGGTTTTTATTGTTCTTCAAATATCTTCATCAATGGCTGCTCATTTGTTTAGACAAGCAAAGCAGATGAGGCTTATTGGGAGAGATTCAGCATGGATAATTGCAGACCCATTTGCGAGCCTCTTGGATTCTGTTAATACTTCTGTTATATCCTCCATGGAAGGTGCTCTAGGAATCAAGACATATTTTGTTGAAGACAGTAGGTCTTTTCTGGACTTCAGGCAACAGTTTCGACGAGTTTTCCAATCAGATTACCCTGAGGAAGAAAACTCCGAGATGGGAATTCATGCCCTACGAGCATATGATAGCATTACTACCATTGCAAATGCCATAAACCGAACAGGTAGTTGGCTGAGAATTGAAATTGAAATTTATAGTTTAAAAAGGGGAAGAGAAAATTACGCATAGACCCCTTCTATGTCCCTTGTTTCACATTACCCCTAAACTTTACGCTTTTTAACATTACCTCTTAAGATATTGCTTAAGTTCACATCCGCCCAATCATAACTTTGTTCATTTTTCTCATGATAAATCAGAACAAAAATGACATTCCTCCAAATTAAAGAGAAAAATACTATATCTAACATTGTGGAATTCCATTTTTACTTTGATTTGCTATGAAAATTTGGATAGAAAGTTAACTATTAAAGGAGTATGAAACTCAAGTAATTATTTTAAGGTGTAATACGAGAAATTGGATAGTTTAAGGATAATGTGAAATGACGGTGTAGTTTAGGGGGTCTAATTATAATTTTCCCATTGAGAAATTTATTTTGGTATTTCTTTATTATCTCGGATTTATTTGATTTTATTTCCTAATTTCTAATTTTTCACTTATTTTGGAGTAGAGTTATATTTTGAATATTGGATTTCTGGATTTTGGAGTAGGGGATAACGTTAATATTGGTTCTTCTCAATTTTCTTACACTTCTTTAAATTCTTCACAATTTTTTCAATTTCTTCTCTATTTTCTTATTCTCTCCCAATTCACGCTTCTTGGTCTGCATCAGGTAGTAGTGGTAATGGTTTCACTACACTGCTGAAAAGTATTTTATCAAGCAACTACATTGGTTTAAGTGGTGATATTAGTTTCCATGGAGGAGAGCTAGTTGGATCCTCTCTATTCACAATTGTAAACGTCATCGGAAAAAGATACAAAGAGCTCGGCTTTTGGTCATCATCGATAGGGTTTTCAGAGAGCCTTGTTAATGGAGAAATTGATCAGAAGATGCGGGGTGATTCCATGGACGCATTGGCCGGTTTGGTGAGTTGGTCCGGGGACCTAAAAGTGGATCCACGAGGTTGGCCCATGCATAGTAATGCCACGCCTTTGAAGATTGGAGTTCCTAGAAACACCACTTTCCCGGAATTTGTGAAGGTGGATTGGAATTCAAATTTGAATAAATGGAGCGTTTCTGGTTTCTGCATTGATGTCTTCTATGAGGTGCTGAATATTTTGGAGCCTAGTTATCCTCTACCTCATGTATTTGTACCATACACTGGCACCTACAATGACCTAGTTGATCATGTGGCTAACAAGGTACGTAATAACTCTATTCTTAACATCATTCCTTGTAGTCTTCCTATGTATCATTAATTATCGTATGCACAACTAAAACATATTAGTGAAATAACAATCACGACTCATGCAATGCACAAAATTTGCATTTATCACATCCCTACCTCTGTCCTCAATCCCACTCCCATTATGATTTTGTTAAAATCTTAGTTGGTTGAATTTTGAAAAAGGATTACATAATAACATATAGTTAGCGTGATATATTTGAATTATCTAGGTGTTTGTTGTTGATTGGAAGAAAATTTGTTTCTAATTTACTAACTCAAAAATACGAAAACTAAACAAATGGAGATGGAAAGTGTCTGTAGCACTTTATGCTCTGGAGCGGAACCACCTAATTTCTCGTATTATGTGTTTTACTACTTTAATTTGTTGGTTGTTTTTGTGACTTTTTTGCATAATAGTTTTTTACAAAGATTTTATGTTTGAAATGTGTACTATAATTAATTTCAGACATTCGATGCTGTGATTGGCGACGTAACTATACTAGCAAATCGATCAAAATATGTGCAATTTACGGCGCCATACGCCGAATCAAGCTTATCAATGATAGTAACGGTGAAGCCCAAGCATGGAAAGGCATGGATTTTCTTGATGCCTTTCACCATGGAAATGTGGGCAGTGACCGCTGCCTTGTTGCTCTACACTGTGTTCATAATTTGGCTTTTGGAGCGTCAATCGAATCCAGAGTTTGCAGGCCCATGGCACAATCAACTAGCGACTTCACTTTGGTTCACATCCACCTCACTATTCTTTGCACATAGTAAGTGTCCTTTTCAACAATTACAGATTGTGCGGTAATTCTGCATTACTAAAGGTTACTATTTTTAAAGGAAAACTTACTACTAATTGATATAATTCATATTAGACCACTTCAAGTGTCTGACGACGCAGACCATATCAAGTCTTTGTTGATTGTAAAGTATAACAATACATAATACAACACATAAAATAAGAGCTGAATAAATCAATGGAGGTGGAATTTTAATGATACAAATCTAAATTTTAACTCAATCTAATAATATATATACTAGTTATTATTTGTGACTGAATAGCCAAATTGGTTACATCTGCTGTAATTCTCTGAAAGTGTTGAATGTACTTGGTTTTATGTAATAAATTGCTTTATCAGACAGACCATAACTCAAACACTTGTCGCATTATCACAGGGGAAAGGGTTCAAAATAGTTACACTCGTGTAGTGGTGGTGGTATGGCTCTTCGTTGTCTTAGTCTTATCCTCAAGCTACACTGCAAGTTTCTCCTCAATGCTCACTGTCCAACGTCTCAAACCGAACATAACAGACATAGAGTGGCTACAGAAGAACAATGCACCAGTAGGTTGTGACAACGATTCGTTTATAAAACAGTATCTACAGAATGTGCTTCAATTTAACCCCCAAAACATCAAGGGCATCAGCAGGGAAAATGAATACGTTACCGAATTCGAGAATGGCAATATCATTGCAGCATTTCTTGAACTCCCTGAATCAAAGGCCTTTATGAATCAATTTTGCAAGGGATACACTGTTGTCACACCCACAAATGGAATTACTCACAGATTTGGAGGCTTTGGGTTTGTGAGTAGTCACTGGAACTCTTTATACTATTTTGAATAGGACTACAAATGGACTAAATCGAGCCAAGATCATGACCATTTGGGTCCAGCTTGTTTGTTCACATAGAGAGTTCAGGCTTGGCATGGGATCTTTATACTTCACTTGTTTGTTTGCATATAGTATCTACTATATGATATATACATAATATTATATGTTCAGGAGCCTAGACGAGGCGAACACGAGCCTAGGCTTGTTTATGTTTATGTTCACAAGTCGAACACTTGCCTAGACAAGATGAACACAAGCATAGACTTTGTAAGGGGTAGAACCCTCCACTCAGGATTTCGGCTTGACCTGGGTTAACCCACGCGGGCGACCCCCCAGTAGCCTTTACCTCTCTTCGCCAATAGGACCCTTTCCTAAGGCAATCCCACATCGGAAGAGAGTCGTCTTCCCCCCTCGCATATAAGCCCTTGCACTCAAAGGAGGAGGTACCCACTAGCGACCTGATCAGGTAGCTAGTGGGTACCTCCTCCTTTGAGTGCAAGGGCTTATATGCGAGGGGGGAAGACGACTCTCTTCCGATGTGGGATTGCCTTAGGAAAGGGTCCTATTGGCGAAGAGAGGTAAAGGCTACTGGGGGGTCGCCCGCGTGGGTTAACCCAGGTCAAGCCGAAATCCTGAGTGGAGGGTTCTACCCCTTACAGACTTCCTTATGCTACACATGCCGAACATGAGACCTTTTTTTTTTTTTTCATATGTTCATCAGCCTAGACAATCCCAACAAGTCATGGTTCGGGCTTGGCTTGTTTATTCAACGAGCTTTAAAACTATGTCCGAGCTCAATTCATTTATAAAAGTGAACATACTTGAGCAAGTTTGGATACAAAGCTATCCATGAACAGGTCGGTTCATTTATGACTCTTATTTTGAATTTTTTTGCTTGTTATAAAAATTAATATCATTACGCAGGTATTTCCAAAAGGCTCTCCAATTGCTGATGTTGTCTCCCNCCCCCCCTCGCATATAAGCCCTTGCACTCAAAGGAGGAGGTACCCACTAGGCACCTGATCAGGTCGCTAGTGGGTACCTCCTCCTTTGAGTGCAAGGGCTTATATGCGAGGGGGGGAGACGACTCTCAGTCGATGTGGGACGTAGCTCCTGCGGGCATTGAGAGGTAAAGGCTACTGGGGGGTCGCCTGCGTGGGTTAACCCAGGTCAAGCCGAAATCCTTCAAGTGGAGGGATGAGATCTNCTTTGCTCAGCAGTCACTTCCACCATATGTTATGTACTATTTGCAACTCGCCAGTCACATACGGGACATATTACTTTGATTTATAGCACTATGTTGTACAAGTTGGTTGGGTTAGTAGAGTATTTGCGTATCATAGTGAGAAAACTTCAAGGTACAACTCCAAACACTGTTCACGCATTAGGAGTTTATGACTGCAGCTCTTCTATTGCGGAGTATACAAGTTCTTCAGAGACTCCAAAGCAATCTCAAGCATTGACGTCGCTTGAAGTTCAAATAACCAATCTTGATGAAGAAAGGCGTGTTCCTTTGTGACCTGCATTCTCAAGTTCGAGTTATAGAAAGATTTATTGGGAGTAACACATATGTCTGATTTTTTTAGATGTGATGAATGATGGAAATTGAGTCACATTCATTGACGTGTGCACTATTTTTCCTTCTTACTCCATTTACATAGATATGTCACAAGATGGGTGCCACCCTCCTTATTGTCTTGCTCATTATCTATAATACAAAGGCTATCTATCGTTGTTTTTTTTCATTTTTTCTTCTGCTTTTTGTTTCTTCTTTCCAATTTGTTGATTATGTGATTAGAACAAGTGAGCCACTCATTAGTGACCTAGAAGTTTTATATAAATATTACCCAGACGTAAACAACAAATTATATATACTTATGTTTTTGTCAAGCTCTTGATGTTTGATAAAGGCCTCCAACTATCTTAATGACTTAAAACCGTATTTGGCCCCTAAATTTTAGTCTAAGCTTCAATCAAGCCAATAAAATATCTCGATTTAGCCATCCTGCTTTTAAGTTGTTCCAATTTAGACCTTCATGCCGTCTCCTTAGAAATCTTAATGGAAAATGGATTATCTATTTGATCGAGTTTGTAAATAATCAATTTTTTTCCAGTTAGCAAGATAAGGTTAATGAATAAGATTTCATCCAAATTCGATCAAATATTGTGTTCCTCACCCATTAGTTTGCTCAATCAACGTGTTTTCACAAGTTGACTTGCCAAAAAAATATTTGTGATCTTTAATAAGGAAAATTGCACTCCATATCCACTTACCCTTAATCTAACTAAAATGTTTACTTGTTATTCCATTCAGTAACTTTTGCACCTTTGAAATCTACGCTCATATCACATTACTAGCACCTTTTGCTCATCCACGTTGAAATACACCATCAGTTTGGTGCTGTCTGTGGGAAACGACTGTTCCTGTTATAAATAAACTGATCTTTCAGTGACTGATGATATCAACGCGAAACATGAGCCGAAGTCAGACAAATCCACCACGGATGCAAGATCAACAAGAAGCTACTAATAGCAGACAATCTGAGAACGTCCAAGAGACCAATCCACCCGTGGGGGGTCTCCCCATGAATAACGAGATGAAGGCCCTTCGCCTCGTCAATCAACGCTTGCTGAAACAAAACATAGAACTCTTAAAGCTCTTACAATGCCCATAGGAGGCGCGACAGGCTTAAAAAGGCCAGAACAACCCACCACCTAGGGAGCAACCACACCTCGACCCTCTCAGAGAAGTCAACAAAGAAGGGGAGACGTTAGAGATCGCTTGGGACCACCTTATCCAGAGTTGCAGCCGAGGTAAGCATCTCAACAGGTCCCTCCACTTACCGCAACAATATCGCAAATCTTGTATGAGTTACAAAACGAAAAATTCCTAAGGTAGCCACCCCGGATAAAAGCAGACCCGACGAAAATTTTACCCCACTCCTGGTATGCAGAACATCTTAGGAAATTTTATCAGTAAGTTTGTCCTGTAATATGATTATTAGTAAAGCAGCAAGTTTGTGGTTCATTCACTCTTCCGAAGAGCCCGGGAGCTCACGACAAACTCATTAGTCCGTAATAAGAGCCTTAGAGCTCACGATGAACTCATTAGTTCATAAAAAGAGCCCTAGAGCTCAAGATGAACTCGTTAGTTCATAAAAAGAGCCCTAGAGCTCACGACGAACTCTTTAGTTCATAATAAGAGCCTTAGAGCTCACGATGAACTCGTTAGTTTATAAAAAGAGCCCTGGAGCTCACGATGAACTCGTTAGTTCATAAAAAGAGCCTTGGAGCTCACGACAAACTCCTTAGTTCGTAATAAGAGTCCTGGAACTCACGACGAACTCATTAGTGCATAATAAGATCCTTGGAGGTCACGAGAATTTCGTTAGTTCATAAAAAGAGCCCTGCAGCTCAGGACGAACTCATTAGTTCGTAATAAGAGCCCTGAAGCTTACGACGAACTCATTAGTCCGTAATAAGAGTCTTAGAGCTCACGATGAACTCGTTAGTTCATAAAAAGAGTCCTAGAGCTCACGACGAACTCGTTAGTTTGTAATAAGAGACCTGAAGCTCACGAAAAACTCATTAGTTCGTAATAAGAGCCCTATAGCTCACGACGAACTCATTAGTCCGTAATAAAAGCCTTAGAGCTCATGATGAACTCGTTAGTTCCTAAAAAGAGCATTGGAGCTCACGACGAACTCCTTAGTTCATAAAAAGAGTCCTGGAGCTCACGACGAACTCCTTAATTCGTAATAAGAGCCCTCGAGCTCACAACGAACTCATTAGTTCGTAATAAGAGCCCAGGAGCTCACGACGAACTCATTAGTCTGTAATAAGAGCCTTAGAACTCACGATGAACTCGTTAGTTCCTAAAGAGAGCCTTGGAGCTCACGATGAACTCGTTAGTTCATAAAAAGAGCCTTGGAGCTCACGACGAACTCCTTAGTTCGTAATAAGAGCCTTGGAGATCACGACTAACTCATTAGTTCGTAATAAGAGCCCTGGAGCTCACGACGAACTCATTAGTCCGTAATAAGAGCCTTAGAGCTCATGAGGAACTCATTAGTTCATAAAAAGGGCCCTAAAGTCCACGAGGAACTCGTTAGTTCATCAAAAGAGCCCTAGAGCTCACGACGAACTTCTTAGTTTGTAATAAGAGACCTAGAGCTCACGATGAACTCATTAGTTCGTAATAAGAGCCCTAGAGCTCACGACGAACTCATTAGTTTGTAATAAGAGCTCTGGAGCTCACGACGAACTCATTAGTTCATAATAAGAGCCTTAAAGCTCACGATGAACTCATTAGTTCTTAAGAAGAGCCCTGAAGCTCACGAGAAACTCGTTAGTTCATAAAAATAGCCCTGGTGCTCACGACGAACTCCTTAGTTCGAAATAAGAGCCCTGCAGCTCACGCCGAACTCATTAGTCCGTAATAAGAGCCTTAGAGCTCACGATGAACTCGTTAGTTCATAAAAAGGGCCCTAGAGCTCACGACGAATTCCTTAGTTCATAATAAGAGCCCTAGAGCTCACGATGAACTCATTAGTCCGTAATAAGAGCCCTGGAGCTCACGAGGAACTCGTTAGTTCCTAAAAAGAGCCCTGAAGGTCATGAGAAACTCGTTAGTTCCTAAAAAGAGACCTAGGGCTCATGACGAACTCATTAGTTCGTAATAAGAGCCCTGGAGCTCACGACGAACTCATTAGTTTGTAATAAGAACCCTGGAGCTCAAGACGAACTCATTAGTCCGTAATAAGAGCTTTAGAGCTCATGAAGAACTCGTTAGTTCCTAAAAAGAGCCCTGGAGCTCACGATGAACTCATTAGTTCGTAATAAGAGCCCTAGAGCTCACGACGAACTCATTAGTCCATAATAAGAGCCTTAGAACTCACGATGAACTCGTTAGTTCGTAAAAAGATCCCTAGAGCTCACGAGGAACTCGTTAGTTCATAAAAAGAGCCTTGGAGCTCACGATGAACTCATTAGTTCATAATAGGAGCCTTGGAGCTAACGACGAACTCATTAGTCCGTAATAAGAGCCTTAGAGCTCACGAAGAACTCTTAAGTTCATAAAAAGAGCCCTGGAGTTCACGACGAACTCATTAGTTCCTAAAAAGAGCCCCGGAGCTCACGACGAACTCATTAGTCTGTAATAAGAGTCTTAGAACTCACGATGACCTCGTTAGTTCCTAAAAAGAGCCCTGGAGCTCACGTAGAACTCATTAATTTGTAATAAGAGCCCTGGAGCTCTTATTCACGATGAACTCATTAGTCTATAATAAAAGCCTTAGAGCTCACGAGGAACCTTTAAGTACATAAAAATGAGATTAGTAGCTCTCGCTCAACTCCTATGTTCATCACAACGATCTGGGCCACCTATGGTGGGGAGCTTAAGAAGAAAAACTCTTTCAGAAGAAGTTGTAGAACCATGAGGTCTACAAGTCCAACATCCTAAAAAACCCAGACAGTTTGCAAGTCCAGAATTGAACTCGGCAGCCTTATTCCCACTAAAGATAAAGCTATGCCAGACACCGCCAAGCGTTCAAGAACAAGATTGTTTTAAGCTCCATGCCTCTCAGTTCACCACAACCTAAGCTCGGCTGCATAAACCTACAGAATCGCCAAAGCCAGCATGAAACGCAAGGAGTAGCTGGTGATGAGATTTACCACTTACTCTCATCCAATAAGCTCAAGTATGAAACTCCCAAAGCATTCTTGCTTCAGGAAGAGCTCAACACTTCTTAAAGCAAGGGGGACAAGGAAAGACTAAAGTAAAAATGCACAGCTAGAGCACATTTGAAGTCGCTGATTGGGAAGTCATTACTGTTACATCCTAAGTTCAGCCCTTGCCCAAGCCAGCTCAGCCAAGAGTTGAGGGGCAACTGATGATACTCAGAATAATTCCCGAGCAGGGGCTCGGGAATGGAGGTCAGGTATGTTGAGCTCAGAAAGTCAGAACTATGCAAAGCTCAGAAAACTAGAGCTAGAGCTCCCCTTAAGCGAGATAATAAGCTGAAGCAATGAGGAAGCAATTGGATATTACAAAAAACTCTACTGGCGGTTTGAAGTAACACTCAAGGCACAAAATCCTCAACCAACCAAGATATTCTCCTAGATTAAGGAGAATTTCTCGGATAGATGGCGAGGATCACGGATCAGATCCTATAGATTAAGGGTCACCCCTATAAATACCATGTAACGCCCCCATCAGAAAGGGGGACCGAATGACCAAGAACCCTAGTAGCATATCTTACATTCTGTAAACCTTTTGGTATAGTAAATAGAGAAGAAAAGGAGCAAGAACATCCATTGAAGAGTGGACTAGCCGAGCTCCCGAGCCGGTAAACCACTATATTTTTGCTGTGTACACCCATTTAATCCCCTCAATATTTGATTCCATCATCATACACGAGCCTTGAAGCTATGATCCACGCTCATCTCACGTTACTAGCACCTTTTGTTCATCCACGTTGAAATACACCATTAAGACCAACCAAGGATGTTGTTTGGGCTGGTCAATTCGAGCTTAATCTGATACATTTTGAAAGTG